GGATTATCTGAGGGAGCAAGGATGTACAAGTAGCCAACATCAGAAGTCCCCACACTGTCAAGCAGCAGCCCTTGTAAGAGGCCTTAAAGTGCATATTAAACACAAACACTACAAGAGTCATTCTTTTCTTTCCAGCTTTTTAATGTGACAGAGAGAACAAAACCAAAGTCCATTGGAACAGCTGCAATTTCCAGTGACAACCAGACACAGATCAAATAAAAAAAGAAAAATCATAAAAGAAGAAAGGTTTCAATTGATGAAAAGGAACCAGGGGACCAGAATTGTCTATTTCACACACACAGAGTCGACAGAACATCTAAATGAAACAGTTCATTAAATGCACGACACTGGGTGTTATTTACAGTGTAACTCGCAGTGTGTGTGTACATCTATAGAGCACTAACACCACATAGAGCAAAGAAATTTCTTTTAGTTTCTTTCACAGTTCCCAGGTTTGATTCTTCTCAAAAGCAGCGTTTGCTAATAAGAGGGTAAGAAACTGAGGGAGAAACTTGGTGGAAATACAATGGATGGGGCTCAAATCTACATAAACCTAAAAATATACTGTCAGGTTTCATATGTCCTTTGGAAAGTCAAAGGACTTTAGCAGGGAACATAAATGGACCTAGGACCTCCTTAACAGTATCAGAGTATACTCTGCTGTTGGAGGTACAAAGCAGGACCTGGAGGAGACCTGCACATCTGCAGAAAGCTTGGCTCCATACAGCCTCACTCTGTGCCCCTGTGTGAACCCAGTCTTGGGGCTGGACCAGGGAATTCCAGGCTCAGGGAATATCCCTTAGTGCACCTCTCTGGTATCGCCAAAGGACATCGGGCTGCCTGATGTGCTGAACATCTGGATCTGGGTTTTCCCAAAGTGACTCTTAGTCCAAAAGATCCATACAGCACTGTTTATAAGTCACAGAGCACTCCAAGGGGATAAGGATCATACAGGCAAGGAGGGGATAAGGATCATACAGGCAAGGAGGGGATCACCCCACCCAGCACAAGCTGCAGCCACCACCTGTAGAACATAGCAGGGCCAAAGGCAGTGGCAGGACTTGTCCTGCACAACTGAATTAAGAGAATAGGTGTACAGCAACCAGTTAAATCAACCAGGAATATAAGGAGGCAGAACTCTTACTGTAATACCACTGATGTCTTACAATAGTATTAACAATGCTCCACGTTCCTCTAAATGTCTGTTTCTGCATGCTCAGAAACTCAGTAATGAACTCCTCCTGCAACCCTGTTATGCTGCTGTACCCTAAAATCACAGCAGGCCAGTCAGGGTTCCCTAGACGCAACTTCCCATGCCACAAAGTCCCTGGCTGCATGACTGTACTGGTGTGCCACACATGCATGAAGAGGTCCAGCTGTCTTCTAGAAGATGTCTTTGGGATTTAAGGCAAGTCCCCTGTCTTGGTCCTCTTGTGCCCCTGTTGCAGTAAAGTTCATGAATCCAAGGAAATAGTGATCTGCAGAGATCGTCAGTGGACCTGTGGTCAGCAGTTTTCTCTGTGGATGGTCCAGTGCATCCAAGACAAGGAGACTGTTCGCTGTGGCAAAGATAGGCAGGAGTAACCAATGGAGGAGGCATGCTGGTCCCTTGCACAGCAGGTATAATGCTGATTTTGCAGTAGAAATAAAGCTGAGCCATCAGAGGAGGAGCCTGAGAGAAATCTCCCCCTGCATGATGCTCCAGGGTTCAGTGGCTCAGGCTCAGCCTAGCAGGTAACTCATGGCTTGAAACTGAGGTGCAAACCAGAACACAGCCAATGCTTTGGGAACTGCACCCATCAACCATTTTGCTCTGGGGAGCAGTAGTGTGAAGCTTACACTGATTTACACCGTGACAAGGACAATAAACGAACATACCAGGAGTATTGACTAAGCCTTGTTCACATTGGATGGAAGATGTTAGTCCAGGTATCAAAAACGTAGATGACTGGGTTGGAGCTGTTGCCCTGGATTTCTCTATTACAAGAGAGGAGTAGGGCTATCCGGGGTAAGCCATCTTCTCAGCAAGATACCTGCCATGGTCCATGCCTTTCAGCTAAGAATAATGGGAACCCAGGGCGATGAGTCTGGATCCAGATCACACTCATAGGTGTCTAAAACTGGGCTACATTTTTTCTCCTTAGTTTTTCCTATCTTCTTCTCTGTTCATTGTTGTCCTTTCCCAGGCCCTTGTGTGTGTTTGCCCTTTCCTATTAGGTCATGAACTCCCTCGTCAAGTCAGGGACAGGAACCTTGTCACAATACCCCTGCATTGTCCCCTAGCCCTCAAATGACTGACCCATGGGCTTTAGGGGTTCAAAGAGTTTCTACAGCCACATGGGTAGTTTGTGTGACACTGACAACAAGGTCCTACTGCTCTTTACCCTGTCCCAGCTAATGTCTCGAAGGTGAGGTTTAGCAGCCATTCTGTAAAGGTGGACAGTGAGAAAGCCATTCTGTAAAGAAGAAAGGTTTCTAAGATTGGGTATTTCCTAATATCACCTTGCGGTTTCTATCTCCTCAAGACCTCAATATCTTCCTTCTCTGAAAATGAACAGAGAAGTTCTGCAAAATAAATGATGTCATTACTGTCACTGTACAATGTGAGTGGAGAACACAAAGGGTCATGTTTGCTGTCAGAGCATTGGGTGATATGTAAATAAGTGGTTCTTGGCTCCACAGAGCAGCATAACAGAATAGTCCAGAAAATGAAACATTGGCATGTGGTAATTGGTATGCAGAGCCCAACAAAATGGATGAAACTTAAAGACCATGGTGATCTTTTGTGTTGAAATACATATTTAGCTGCTTCTCACCATGCAAAGGGACCAGACATTCTTAAGAAAGGAAAAAACCCAAACCACATTCTGTGCTGTGATTCTCAACAGAAGCTGTAAACTGCTGCCAAAGGACATAATTACATTTACCCCTACCTTAGAGAAGGAACCTTGCTGTTTTGAAGACAAATCCGAAAAGGCCCTAAGCTACCCATAAAATGAAGAAATGAGGCATAATGAGCTTGGTTATTACAGCAGATTGTGATTTTATCGATTTCATAAGCCTCAGAATAAATCTCAAAAATCCCAAATAGCCCATTGTAGCCTAGTTGCTCCGTAAGTGTTTATCCCTGACTGACACAATGATAAAAGTGATGCTCATTAGAGCGTTTTTCCTCATTGGCAAAGGATTTGCTTCCCGTGATCTAACCACACTCTGTGTCCTTCAGCTGTCCCCTGCAGCAGCACCAGCACTGACTCCCACTGCCATGTGGGGCTGGCCCTGGTGTTGGCTGCTGATGTATTTGTCTGTTCAGCTGAAGGCAAAGGTGTTAGACTTCAGACCTGCTGGATTTCAGCCTAGCCTTTCTTGGTTTTCTTAAAGAAAAGTGGAAAAAAAGAGGAAAAGAAAGGTAAATTGGAAGATCAATAGCAAAAATACAAAGAACTTTTTATGTCACAAAATATCCTGGTGAGACAAGTTTCCTGCATTATATGACAGTTTCTGATCAATTGTGGTCTATTGTCAAGCTTGTTGAAAGGGTTTAATTATCATTATCTCATCCATTGTGAACACTGGTGTGTTATTTAATAGTATGCATTTCATTCTTGCCTCCCAAGAAAATACAGCCCAAACTACACAACTCATGTTGCTTTTAGATGCAATAGGACTTAAGTTGTACGACAAAAAGGGCATATGAATTTCAAAAATGGTCCTTACAGGATATCAAACTTAAATGGGCCACTTAATGGAGAATTTAATGTTCTGTACAGTGAAAGCTTGCTGTGTGCATTCCCTGTGTAACAAGTTAAATGGCTTTAAGTAACTGTGCTTACAGTGTTTCAGTGAGACCCAAGTATACAAGAAAATCAAGCATCATATTCTTTAAATGATATGGCTAAAATGCTGGTAAATTCACAGTTACCATACTCTAGGTATTTGACAAAAAGTCACCTATTTACACTGGATAATATATACACATTTGGTTTGTGGAATGCTCCAACATCAAATCAATTTCTCCTCCGTGAAAGCAGTAGGAAAAAACCTCTCTTAATCATCATAGAAATATATGTTCCCAGCCATCAATATATTTAAATATTTGGTGTCTGGATATAAAGTGTGAAGCGTTCACTAAGTTGGTTATGACTCCAGATAATCTTGAATTATTGGGATTCAATTTTAGTGTCTCTCTTAAGATCTCCTTAAGGGTGCAGAGACTAAAAATTATAGATTTCAATAGCTGAAGACTGCAATGTGTGTGTGTACATTTGCAAGTATGTGTAAATACATGTATACGTATATAAAATTATGTATATATTCCTCTCCCAGACCACAGTGATTCTCTATGCCCAAGTAAAGACAATAAAGGGCTTTGAAACCCTGAGTCTTCTGAGAGAGCCAAGCATCCACTCTCATATCCTCCAGAAATCAGGATTCTCTCACTCTTGCAGGTGGTTTAGTAGGTAACCCCCAAATCAAGACAGCTAGGGTCACCAGCCACATCTGTGGCTCCAGTCCCTGTTGCTGGAGCTCACCTATAGTAGATCTGTCACTTGCCTCCACTCCAGATGCCCTTTTTGTCTGAACACAGTTGATATGAGTTGCCAAGGAGCGCTGGGCAAGGCAGGCAGCATCTCACAGCTCGGCAAAGGCATGGGGGGGTCAGGATCTGTTCTCCCGTCGGACACGCTCACACCCATGCAGGTGCATACATGCACATAACTGCTGTTCTCGTGTTGTTATTTTTTGGAAAGAGCAGACTCCCAGCGAAGGCAAGGTTAAACCCAAGCTCTGCAAGGGGTGTGTGGTAGCTGCATGCACCAGTTGTGAGTGTTAAATGGTGTTTTAGGGGGGTGTTTGTATCCCTTTGGGCTCTTCTTTGCTTCCATCGTCTTCTTTGAGGTATTGACAGAACAGTGTAGAAATGGACATTTTGATTTTCCCAAACATGTCACTTTTTTGTTCTTCTACATCTGCCCCCCCACCCCCTTGGCCTCAGTTGTTCACATTAGGACCTGTTCTCGAGTCTCTGGCAGGCGCAAAGCGAGCAGGCCACCTCCAACCAGAGCAGAGGAAGCCAGAAGGATGGGAACCACCTTGGTTATCCCTACAAAGGAGGCAAAAATTGAGTTCCCCAGGATGGCACCAAACTTGCAAAGACCATTGAGGATGCCAAAGGCTGTTGCCCTGTGGAAAAGCAGAAAACAGTGGTTAGGAGGGAGGTTCTCCGTGTAACTACTGAAGATCTGGGTGGGTAATTTTGTGGATGCTCTTGTGTTCCCCAGGCTACACTTCTAGAAAGTAAAGCCTGGCAGAATAAATAAATGGATAAATAGATATAACTGTTCTGCATGTCTGTGTGTACTCGTTTCTCTTTTTCATCTCAGCTGCTCCCCAGTCCTGCAGTGGCCCACTAGTCAGCCCCAAATACAGCAGGACACAGTCTGTTCTAGAATTTGTCAGGAGTGGGTTGTCACCAGGGAACCAACCACAGCTCTCCTCCAAATCCTGCTTCTCCCAGGAGCTAAAAGCACACTGTGCCTTCAAAGCACAGTCCTTCCCTCTAGGCTTCCCCCAGCAGCCTGGAAAAAGCAAAAAAATAAAGACTTGTAATGATGTTGTGAGGAAGGATTTAATCTGCAGCACAATCTCCCGAAGTTTCCTGTGCTGCCCCATCCCCCAAACCAATCTATGCACACGGATATCTCCAGATTGAGGAGGGGAAGGGAGGCTGTCAGTGGTGAGCTATGACAAGAGACTGGAGGATACGTCTGAAAGGACAGACCTCCATGAACATCCATGGAAATGACAGGCTCTGTATTTTATCTGCCCATAATTTCCATACACCCACGAGACTCCCTGTGTACAAGCCACCGTGCATGCAGAATTATGCTTGCAAATGTCTGTGCAGATCCAGTATAGCTGCAGGACTACCCAGCCCTTAAGGATTGGTGAAAATAAAGATAAAAATACACCTTTCCCATCTACATGTCTCTGGAGTGGCTTTTTCATGGAGTATCCCTCCCTGGAGACATTGAAAACCCACCTGGACATGTTCCTGTGTAACCTGCTCTAGGTGACCTGCCTTGGTAGGGGATGATCTTCCAACCCTAATGATTCTGTGTGAACTGAGAGAACAAAGCCAGAGGATGGAGACTAAAAGAAGCAATATTCTGAGCACCTTTTGTCAGTGGGGTAGAGCTCCACAGTGATCACATCCAGGGCATTCCAGGCAGCAATGCTGGCCCCACAGAAGAGGCACTGCCAGCCGATCATTGCCGACTCACTGTTGCCGAAGAAGAGGAAGAAGCAGCACACTGCTGAGATCAACATCGAGCCACCTACAGGGGCAACCAAGAGAAGAATATTGGCACTGATTTCCCTTGTCCACAGTTGAGCAAACATATTTGTTGATAAAGACCATTTTCAAGTGATGGTGTTTCATCCCAGAGTGAACTAAATCTGCAAGAATCCAAAAATACCTTGTTGCTGCCTATCTGTCATTCTCTGAGGCTGGAAACCAGCCTGAAAATGTTCTCAAGGACCACCTGATCTTGCTGATAAGTCTGCTCTATGGAGATTCTGAAGATAGGCTTTTTCCAGGCAGGTTTCCAGCATCTCAGGCTTCCAGATGGACCCAAGAAGAGCACAGGCAGGTAAACATGAAAGTCAATGGGGAGGAAGAATCATTGTGAAGGTTTTTCAGCTTGAGTTTTGAGTGAAGAGCTGGTGCATTTCATATCTTATTGAAATCACTTAACACATTTCTAGTTCCAATTAGGATAATTTACAGTCAATTGTATTAAGTACTTGAGGTCTCTTTTAATTATCAGAACATCATTAGATTTCATGGCACATTTACACAGGAGCCATAGTTTTATGAACACCACCGAGGGAGAAAGTGAGAGCATTCATGCTCAGTTAGGCACAGTTCAGATTCAGAAAGATGGATAGCTACATCCCTGCCTTCTACCCTGTTGGGAATTTCCACCTGAAAGATGCAATTTTTGCAGAGTTGAAGTATCTTTCACTGGAATGTTCTGTTGTTGCCGAAATGTCTCCATTTACTATCAGGAAACTAAACAATTTGTTTTGGGTTTTTGGAATCAACCTGACACCATTCAAGATTATTTGGATGCTGAACTGGAACCAAAATGATTCATTTCGGACATGATGTTGCATCTTGCCACTGCGGTGCTCTGCCTATGGAAAGCTGCCGTGCAGGACTCCGCACTTCTCCTCCATGGTACCTGGCTCAACTATATTCCCCACTGTGCAGTGCAGCATGAGGGTCACCATGTGGGCACCAGGAGATCTGCTGTTTGGCACAGGAGAGGATTTAGTGGAACATGAAGTGGAACTGAAGTCCAGCAAGGCAAAGGAACACTCAGTTTTCATGTTAAGCTGACCAGAAACAATATGTGAGCGATAACAGTGTGATACGGGTGGGATGCCAAAAGGCTGTTTCAATTGAAAATTCCATAGTGAAACATTTCAGTGTGTCATTCCTAATTTTTGTCCTGTACTTTTCAATCTGCAGAAGAAATAAGCATTTAGGATTCCAGCTGCCAGCTCAGTTCCAGATTAAAGTGCCAAAATCTGACATGTTTGGAGGGTGGGCAATCTGATTGTCATTCAGCTTTCTTTAATTTATTTCTTGCAGACCCTCTGGTTTGTCTGGGTCTTTTCCAAATTCACTACATGATTGCTCAGTGTGCATTCCTCACACACCAGTGGGGTCGTCTTGCTTACCTTAGCCTGTCTGATGGTGAGGCTAAGCTAGCTAAACTTCCCTCTGTTCTCAGAAGAGAGGTGAGCTCAAGAAGGTGATTTATCCCTTACCCCTGAGCCACATCCCTGATTTTGTTAAACTCACTTGGCTGTCCTTTGAGGCATGATTTCCATAGTGCCTGGAGAGCAAGGTCTGAACCCTGGAGGAAGCAACACCAGAAATTCCCAAAGTAATCATAAGCCTGATAAGGTGATAACTTATTCCTGTAATGATAAAGGGATTGCCTGTGACATGGTCACTTAATCTAACATAGTCTCTCCAAAGCTGTTTGTAAAATCATTTGAAATCAGAACACCAAAGGAGGGAACTTTTGCTGTCAAGCATCCACATCAAATAATCTTTGTGAATATTCATTGCTGCAAGCAAAGTGCTTATTTATACAGAGTGCTACAGACGTCAGCATCAACTCAACAGCACCAAGGGATACTGCTCCAGTTCTGACCCTGTTGTGCTGAGCACTGGGTAAACATATAGGCTTTGACATAAAAGCCAAAACAATAAAGGGTGTCACAGATACGCAGAAAAGCAGGGCGAGGAGATGGGGGGCAGGTAATCTGCCCACTGCCACAGAGTAGATCCCTTGCTTCACCCTCAAGTCTTTTGACCCTTCTTCTGCATTTGATATGGGAATGAGTCATTCCCACCTGAGCCATCTCTGCTTACATCAGTGTGTGCAGATGCAGCGAGACCTTCACAACGGCCTTGGCTCTTTGCAGAGTCATGACCTGCTCCATGCACCCACCATCCCCACTCACCAATCATCTTTATCCTCCCTATTTTGTCCATGAGTAATGCAGAGATGATGTTGCCTGGCAGCACAGACAGGCTGCCCAGGAAGCTGACCAGGTAGATCAGGAAATCATTGTCCTCCTCAAAGTCCAGGTGGCAGCCTTCCTTCTCGTTCATAAACGTGCTGTTTATGAGCCTACAGTTGATGAATTTGTGTTCATAGAGATCTGTGAGGGAAA